TGGTTTTATTGGATTCTGTTCTGTTTTTTCTTCAGTTTGAATGTAAGTGCTGAACCCCATTGCTTTGTCAACTGAAATTAATGCTACTTCATTGCTACAAATGACTTCTTTAGGTTTTAAATGACACACTGGTACTTTGAAGTCCTAGCCTGTCTCAAGCAATCACATTTAATTAGAGTTAAATTCTTTAATGGAGAGATTGATCATGAAGACCTTTTATCGATGGGAAAATATATTTGATTAATAGTTTCTTTTTTATCAGCAGGATATTTTTCGTCTATAAATTTTTTGTAAATTTTAATCTGTATATTTCCAAATTTGTTAGGAAGCAACTGTGTCAGAAAACTAATAGAGTAGTCGCACTTTCGCAATTTGTTCCTATCCAGGCAAGCATTTTCTTTCGTAACACTGAACTAATGCGAGTAAAATATATAAAAAAACAACAACTGAAAGTGATACATATCTCTTTAGGGAGGCTTAAAATAGGTTTTCTGTTTGTAACAACATGGGAAAAGTAGCCCATCTACTTCAAAAGTATCATGAATCAAACATCAGGATTACCGTGGATAATGAAATGAAGATACAATCACAAAATTTATCAATAGGTTACAGATGGTATCTGGACAAGACATTCTTGAATAGCACAAACAAATTATGGTCAAAGAGTTAAGTTGAAAATAAACTCATGATTACTGAAGTAAATTTTAAAACTGAAAGATCAGTTATGAAATTTATCTTGGTATATGAGAGAAAAAGGAGAACAGGAAAAACTGAACTTTTAGCTACCTATAAAATCCGATTCAAATCCCTCTTCCATTCTCAACAGGAGGGAATGAACTAAAGAGGATTATAAAAGAAATATTAGGCTACTAAAAATGAATTTTCTTACAACTAAAAACATCGCAAAGTATAGAAAAATCTGGAAGGTTATGTCACTCGTATCAATTTTGATTATATTTACAAATTTTTATCCTTTTTCAAGAGTGAAAAAAAGGAAGGGTTAGAAGAAATTTCATATTGTAAACTTTCCAAAAAGTTTACTCTTCAATTGTAAGCTACCTTTTGCATATTTAATAACCAGACACCTAATACATACACAACATAAATCGACGTGAAACAGACTTTAGAAATAAATGACATACAAAAAGTACCACTTAACTTCTCCTAATAAAAGCCGCTGAAACTATGCGATCACAATTTGATAACTACACACAGAAGAATAAAATAGTAGCGACTACATTACACTGTCCTGATATTGCTGCTTCATTGTTATTTTATGATAATTTCCTTAGTGATTTTCATATGTCAAGTTGAATTTATTCCTAGGCTCATCAATTCATGTAATTCTTTATCCAGTGCTCAACTTATAATTATCATTACTAACACTCACTGTCCACCTTTTTAACTCCTTCCTTCTATTTCCAACTCTAGAACTAAAAACTGCATCATGCATACATAGACTCTGGTTTGGATCAGTTTATAGTTATTTAATATTCATTTTTCTTTGATGCATCGTTTTGTTGTAAGTGATAAACTTCGCTTTAACTTCAAGTAGGGATAGTGCTCATTGTCTTTTTATTTATCATGTATAATAAGATTTTTGTAATTTTGGGCTGTTTATAGACTTTGAAAAGCCATTAAATTCAAGCAGTTTGGTTTTTTACTAATCATTGCTGGATTCCCCACAAATCTTTGTTTTCATATTTCGACAGGGAGAGTTACTGGCTTACTACTTAGAGAAAAACCCTGATAACTCACTTCACACTGAAGACAATGCTGATGATTTTATATAGAAATATAATAAAATCTTCATAAATAAAAAATCCGTCTCGGAAAAGGTAACATATCCAATATTTTGACATACTTTGGCTACAATCCTCAAAGCGAACGTAACAGTCACTCTTGTAGTCCTTCGGTTCCTTTTCTCTCACAAACTATAAGTAAACTATGGAACTACATGCTTCTATAAGTAGTTAATGCTGAAAATGTCACCAGGCCTGGTGATGAAATCTCCACGACAAAATAGTGAAGCTCAGAGAGAATCAAACCGCCATCATCCTCATCTTGAGCTACAAATCTTTTCATAATTTCAAAATATTTGCTTCTATAAACACAACCAGGTTCCTGACAAATGAGAATTTATCTAGAAGAGAAGATTTCAAACTGCTGACCAGAATCAGATCTGTTATATGTTCTGCAAGTATCAGTGTTTAGTCATGCACGTTGCATCATCTAAAAGTTTAATGGCTGTTTGTAGCTTGCATTAAAAGTTAAAACGAAACTTTCTTAATCCAACTTTAGTACGTATAGTACATTGAACAATTATTAGACCGAGGGTATGCAACTAACTACCTAAAAGAGGTTTACTTATATGAAGTGCGAATTGAAACGAGCATATAAATTATTTATTATCATCATTATTGAACATTAGTAATACCTTTTTATTATGTACCTGGTTTGAATTTCTGCTTTTTGACAATAATGTGTACCGGTTGAGGCATAATAACGTGTTTAACTGTAATAACTGCTTTTTGTTGCGGCATCTGTGTTGGTTGTTGTGGTTGTACTGGAAAAAGAGATTGTTGCTGCTGTAGTTGTGTGTTTTGTATTAAAGAAGGTACTTCCTGTTGCTGTGTTGGAGCTGGAAATGGTGTACCTGGTTGACCGGGGAAAGACAAACCTGGTTGTTGAGGTGGTATCTGAGGAAATTCTCCTTTTCCTTGAGGTGTGGTTTCACTAGGTGGCATTTGTGGTTGGACGATTCCTGGCTGTTGTGGTTGAACGATTCCTGGCTGTTGTGGTTGGACGATTCCTGGCTGTTGTGGTTGAACGATTCCTGGCTGTTGTGGTTGAACGATTCCTGGCTGTTGTGGTTGAACGATTCCTGGCTGTTGTGGTTGGACGATTCCTGGCTGTTGTGGTTGGACGATTCCTGGCTGTTGTGGTTGGACGATTCCTGGCTGTTGTGGTTGGACGATTGTGGGTTGTTGTGGTTGGACAATTGTGGGTTGTTGTGGTATAATGATAGTCGGTTGCTGAGGCTGAACAATACCTGGAAGCTGGACTCCATACTGAATAGTATGTGGAATAACAGCATGTGGAACAGTTACAGGAATTTGACTTTGTACTGCTTGAGCAGGCACATATATATGTGTTCCCGCACTTGTGGTACCGTACACATTTGTCAATACTTGGTGTGTTACAGGCGCTGAAATAGGAACATACGTCTGAGCCGGTACCGTGACTGGTAATGTGACTGTTGGCATTTGTCCAAACAGTAGTCTAGGTTTCGCACTGACTTTACTTTGAAATCTCACAGGGGTTATTATCCTATTCCTTGATTTGTAAACATCATCCTCTGTCATATTTTCGTGTTTACCACTATCGAAGTGTATTAGAACTTCATCAGTATTTTTATCTTTTTCACTATTGGGTTCTTCTTCATTCTCTTGTTCTACAGATAGACCGCTCATTTGTGGAATTTGATATTCATCATCCATGTCCAAACCACCAGTGTGATAAGTGTTATCACTCAGGTATGGTGGGAACGATAGTTTTTCCCTGGCTAATGAATACCTTGCTTGTTTTGCATTCATAGGTTTTAAATAACCTGGAAAGTAATTAGGAGACCACATATTCTGCCGTATATAATGCACAGGAGAATTCATTACAGTTAGTCCACATAGGAGTAAGCATAATAATCGTAGATAGACTGACATTAGTTCTGTCTGTGATTCCTGTGATAACCTCAGTATCTAAGTGTTCAACTGCTTATTTCCTTCAATGGCTCCTCTGCAAGCGGATAATCAGTTAATTATGCCTCAAAAGCAAATGGCGAAATTTGAAATGGATAATTTGAATAGATTGAAAAATGCAAGCGATGAATGAGAATCAATTTTATTGTGTAGCCTTATTGATAGTTTTTAGAGTCAAGTGCAACAGCCAGACATAAACCGCCAACCATCAAATTAGCTTATATAAACTTAACAATAATCAATGGTCAATAAATAAACATTTTAGCTTTAAAGTTGTTAAATTACGTATATGAGACTACTTAGTGTAACCACTGATTAAGTTTATCCTTTCAATAAGCATTTTTTCAATCGTTGGTTTACATAAATAGTTAAACAGTTTTTAAAATAATGAACAGCCTGATATTATTTACTCAACAAGCTATTGATAACCAAATTGGATGATCGGTTTGTAAGTTGTTTACAAACTACACGGTTCATGGTGATATCTCTCACAGTTGAGTAGGTGGTCCCCTGACCGACTGTTGTGTCGATAGGGTTGCTGCAGGAAACTGCCCAGAGGAGATCAAGTGGAGCAAGTGAACTAGTCCGATCCATTTGGTGTGAAAAATTCGGCTGTGTGAGATGAATGTTATCAGGTACACCGCTGATGACCTCAACCTTAAACTGTTGAAACAATTGACCAAACGGTAACCAGACCACTCTCATCTGGCCAACGAAGTCTGCTGAGCAGTGTAAATGGTAACTAACTAGTCACATTGTAGTGGGTGTTGCTGATAAGAATGGAAATAAGTAATATATGTTGAGAGGGCGGCAGAAATCATAGATAATTACCAACAGTGAGTAAGGATTCTTTCAAGAGAAATGCAAGAAACAACGTGGGCGTATAAAAAGAAAATCAAGAGGGAAGCATAAGAGGAAATGAAACACACTTTGGAAATGACTATCTTAGTGCAGGGTGCACCATATTTAACGAGCACTGTACCACATGTTAATAATAAACATTTCTTCCCTTCGTCTCTGTCTTCTCGTTTCCTTCAATATTACTCAGTAGTATATTTCTATATCATTATTATTGAATTTAGTTGGTTGATTTGGGTGTGTGTGTTTTGGATGCTAGAATATGCATAGGTTTCCCATGAAAATTTTTTTTACACTTTAAGGAATTCTCCTGAAATTCCATTGCTTACGATGATCAAGGGTGCTATTAAAAGCTCTGCCACAAATTACATGAAATCACAGCTCATATACGTTTTGAACATACATTCCTTACTTTACATAATGCATCAGTTCAAGCATAGTACGAACGCCCATACAAGATGAACAATAACTTGTATGGATTTTAATTTTATTGAATTCTGTTTTACCATTTTTGAACTATCTCTGTACATCTGAAGTCAATGATAAGTTAAATTTTCTAACTGGTGACTTTGAAAAAAAACTGTACAAATTCATTTTACTTTTGAACATCATGTTGTACAGTCTGAGAGGAATTATAAGGCAACAGTTTAGAGAGTTCTACAGATACATTTAACTCATTTTTAGTTGTATTGCTCAGAAAATAAATATTGATAGAACACTTTAAGCTGAATGATTGTTTAGCTGTCATGTGAAAATGTAAAAAATGTTGAGAAGTTTACAATCTGCTTAACCGTATAATATTATTAACAAACTGATAAGCGAAATCTAAATATTCTTCATATATAGTTCCTCAGTATAACTGAACGACCTGAAGAAGTTGTCGAAAAGAATGTTCTTTGTTTACTCAGGTGGCCTGGTAATAATAATTTTCAAAATTTTAAAGTATTCTAGAGGTTGCTTCTGAGCAAGTAAATCGATTTTGTTTTCAAGCTTAATATTGTAGAAATTTTTTCAATCGCACTACTTTATTTTTTTTGTTGTTGGTAGTTCCAGTGGGTTGCTGTGGTAAAACATATCAAAATGAGATTGTAGGACCTTCATAAACCTATCGTCTGTTACTATATGAATATGAAATTCTGTCACGAAGTGAATGAGTAGAGGATATTCTGTTTTGTTAGTTACTTTAGAACCAAAGATGAAACTACAAAGTGCTACGCTGCTTGGTACAATAAAAAGCCGATAGGTCCCCTTCCCACGTTACCTCTCATTGTGTGTAAAAGTTTATTTGCATTTGCCGTAGCAGTCACACGAGGGGGGTGGGGGGTGGGGAGGAGAGTATGTCTTAGTGTAAGTGTAAAACTTGAGTACTGTGGTAAAATCTAATTCCATATTATGTTTGTTTGTTCGTTATAGTACCCAGAGAAACTGTTTTATTTACTTGATGGGGTTTCCAGTATAAATTGTATCTCATAATCATATCAGTGTCAAATAAACAAACCTAATAGGACATACCTTAAATTCTTTGAGCATATGTCAAACAGTCTACTTCTCAAGGGAACAAATGATTTAAGTAATGCAGTCACTCAACATTTTATCGACATAGGGCATGAAGTAGATACCTTAGAATTCCTCAAGGTAGTCACCAAACAGCATGATTCAAACCTCTTCAAGTTTTGCAGAGGCGGTAGCTTTCAAGTGACTGTAGCCGGAATTATGGGTTTAAAAGTCCTTCCTTGCCCTAGTAACCTAATATTTTACTCTTCTCCTTATTTGATGATATCATCTTTTTACTGAATCTCTTTTCTGTTCACAAATAATTTTGATAGTCGTTCTACCATCTGGGTCCAACTCATTTCATCATTATACAATTTTTCTATTTTGTATCCATCAACTAGCTGACTTGTTAATCTTCTTACGTAATCTATCATGAACTTTCTGTTCATGCACAAATATAAGTGAGACCTATTAGCATGTTTTGTTAACTTTACTTGGATACTTGTGTTCTTTACTAAGCTATGTAGTTCCCTGTTAACTAACTGTAAAAAGAAATGTTCTACTTCTTTTGTAATACGATGTTTGAACGTTTTAAGGTTTTAATCAGCTGATAAAAAGCTGGCGAAATCAAATATTACGAAGTTGTTATGCTGCAATCGCCATTCTTTCTCTACTCAAGCCCATAAAGTGGAATATGTACCTGACAAACTAGGATATTTTGAAAACTGATGAAGCATTCCACTGTCTCCTGCAGATCTTGCTTTTTTCCTTTGTCTAAAACTGTCAATAGACTCTACTATATAAAGAAAGTATGGCTTTAGGATCTGGTACATTGTTTAAAATTCTGCTCTACAATTATTATTCCAGTTTATTTCGGTCACATTCATGATGTAAAGCAAAAATCAGGTGTATACAAAATTGTATTTTGAGGTTTATTGGGAATTTAATTCTGAAATAGTATTCATCATGGACTAACATCATTTGGAGAACCATTGAAAACCTGAGTGCACTGGACAGCTGTTTCGTTCTGGTAAACTTAACTGTATAGTACTGATTAGTGAAATGCTTCCCGATGGACATTTCGGAGTCCTAACGAGAAACCTGTAGGGTCAATCAGTCTGAAGGGAAGCGATTGCTAACTAAAGACCTTGGATGATAGTCACACTATATTACGAATTGACAGGAGTTGGGAACTGTGAAACATTGGACTGCGATCGAGTGGCTGAATGGTTAATGCGTTTGCCGTGCAACCTGAACGCCATGAGTTTGGTCCCTAGCCGAGTCGTCAGTGCATACTGCTGAGGAGCCCCATACTAGCAGTTCAGTGCTCCCGAATTCCCAGTAATTCTCCAGATGATGTCAGTCACAGTTTATCAATGCCAGTGTTCACTTTTTTATTTTATCCAAACCACGAAACTGTACAACAAATAAAAGTGATATGGAAAGGTGAGAAAAGAAACGGAAACAAAAGTACTAACGGCTAATTAGTATGTGATAAACCATTTACCATTTTAAGTACACTTTTCCATAATTGATGGAACAAGGAAATTGGATCATGATCATGACGGGTGTAATAATGCTACAGGAACATGGCTTCATAACCTGTATGATGATTTAGTCTGATTACGTGGTTTCAAATTATTTCGACAAGACCGAAGTTTTTGGAAGAAGAAATGTGGTGGTGGTGTAGCAACATTTATTAGTGCAAACTGGTCCTCCTTCAACTATGTATGCTTCTGCTTCTGTAACGAAAAAATTGAGTGCATTACCATCAAATGTCGTCCCAAACATTTGAGCAAATGCAAATACATATATATCACAAACATGTATGTCACATCTGACTGCAGTTTCTCAGATTTGTCAACTTTCGCTGATAAATTCACTGAATTTGCTGCTCCGGTTCTGAGAAACTCCTTGTCTATTGTCTGTGGTGATTTTAACTCATGTGACTACAGTTTTCTGGTATCATTGGGTCATAAAAATGTGGCTAACTTTTCCACTCGTCTTGACAACACCTTGGACTTTGCATTTACAAATGAACCTGGCATATATGAAGCCCGTAAACGGGCTCCACTGCTAAATTCCGACCACTGTATCGTTCGTGTTTTGCCTAAAGTGTACGGAAAATTATACAAGAAAGCTTTTGCATACCTTTCAAGGAAAGTTCAATGCAGATGCTATTCACAAGAAAATATATTACGTTTGAGAAGCATGCTTATAGAAACGGACTGGGATATATTTGCTGATGAAGTTTTAGACAACACTATTACCAATATCACAAGCTATCTCAGATTCTGTCTCGATATCTTCTGCTCTACTGAAACAATTTACATGATATTTGACAGACTTTCCTCTCCTCATCTCAAGAGGCTCCAGAGAGAAAAGAAAGGTTGTATAAGGCCAGAGATCACCCTGGAGTTAAAAGGCCTAACTGCCTAATTAAGTCTGAAATACAACGTCTAAATACTATATACAACAAGAAGTTCCTATCGTGTAAGAACTTTTTTAATATATGGAAATTACTTAAAGATCTTACTGGTAAAAAAAGATGACAAAAGAAACTCGTTCGGATGTCTGTGCGTTAAACAAGTCATTTATACGTCAGCAAGCTG